CGTGGACTAAAGTTTTTCAGTGCAGCGCTGAGCGCCTTAGGGATAAAACCCATCAGCGACAGCTCTTAAAGGGTGAAGCCTATATGAAATAGAATCGCCATACTAGGCTGTATGACCGCAGAGTCAAGGGCTCACCTCTCACTGTTGGGGACAGAGTACTGATCACCAACATAGATTTATTTGGAAAATGTAAGGTTGTGGACAAGTGAGAGTCTACCCCTTATTAGGTCATGTTAGTCAAGCCCGAGATCAATGTCTACAGAGTCAAAGATATTCTAACGTGTAGAGAAAGGGTCACCCACAAGAACCTGCTGCTCTCTGTTAACTTCTTGCCCTGTGAGAATGATGAGGACTGTGAATCTGTGCACTCCGACAGTGATGTTACTAAGCATGGGAGTGGCATGTGACCTGATGTACCTGATGTGATGGAGGACAGTGGTGTCCGCACAGTCAACTGGCTGATGCAGAACGGCAATGATGGGGTCCATTCAGAAGATTGTGACTTATCTGACCAGGGACCTGGTACCATCCAGTCTGACCCTTTTACGACCGTTACTTCCATTCCAGCCAGTCACCCAGGTAGTGTCCACAATGTTGTCCACTCAACAGTTGACGATATGGAGGACTCACAACATTGCCCAAACATTTTACCCTCAGACATGGTTGTGACTTCTCCTAGCTCTGTCCAACCAGACATGTGCCCTCCTGACGATGTCCTCACAGACTTATCTCTTCCTACTGAAGTTTCCCTAGATGTTGAAGCCCCTATGGCAGTAGCTCCTGATGGTGACTGTTCAGACACTTCTGTTCTGGGCTCCTTAACTCAGGTTAGTTCAGCACTGTCTGACAGACGTGTTCTTAGGGATCGTGCGTCTATCAGGCCCCCCAGATGTCTTGTTTGTGAGATGAATGACCACGCAGTAGATAAGGCTTATTTATCCGCTGTCTCTGTTAGACTCCTGGAGTCTTCCACTCAGGAGTGGAAGACTCTATCACAAACTGAGTTCAACTCAGTAGACTACAGAAGACCCCAACTCGACTCAGAAGACAGACTTGAAGACTAGAAGTTCCAGGAAGTGTGGACTTTTAAAGCGTTCTCACTTCCGGTCACTTTAGGACTTCCTGATTGGTTGAAACAACCAACAGGGGGTGGTTCCAGTGATGTCAGAGAGTCACTACAAGTCAAGAGGAGAGCAAGAATGTTTAGGAACTTTTCGTACAGACAGGGAAATGTTTTGAGGAAGTGAGAAACTTTGCAGGTGTCAGATGCTCTTATTTACTGTCTGTTAGGTTTAAAAACAACACAGCCCGTTCTAACAACTTCTTTCTGACTGTCTCTGACTTTTGACCGACATCACTACTTCTCGTTCAGACAGAAGATCAAAATGTATAATTACTTTGTAAATAGACATTTAACTTGATGTCTAATTTAAATGAGGATTAAAAAAATAATCATTAATACTGTTTCACAGTTGATTTAAAATGAATGGTTCAACATTTAGAAATGTATGAACTAAACACACTTTTGATTTATCAAGATATTGTAAAATGGTGATGATAATATAAAAAGAGGAGTGTTCTTTAAATTGATTACTTCAGCATACAATTAGACAGTCTCTGGATGAGCTAATTTGTATTTCTGGATTCAAAACAATGAAATAACAGTTCCTGTCCCATGAAGGTCTTCAGAGGTAGGTTTTGGTCGGAGGCCGAGTTCACTACAATATATATATATATATATATATATATATATATATATATATATATATA